TTTTTTCTTATTTAATACTAGAAATATTTAAGTCTATGAATTGGTCAGGACAATACTGGTTATATCTTATAATTTTTTATTCAGGCTATTTTCTCAGTATGTTGTAATTGCAGTTTTGCATTTCCTCTCTGACCCATGACAATGTAGGAGTGTATTTTCAATGTTCAGATGTGAAAGGTTTGTTTACTCTTTTTAATATTGAGTTCTGGGGGATCCTTGGGTGGCTCAGCAGTTTAGCGCCTGCCTTCAGCCCAGGGCATGCTCCTGGAGTCCCGGGATCAGGTCCCACATCAGGCTCCTTGCATGGAGCCTGCTTCTCCCTCTGCCTGTATCTCTGCCTCTCTCTCTCTGTGTCTCTCATGAATAAATAAATAAAATCTTTAAAAAAATAATATTAAGTTCTGGTTTTATTTTATTCTTAGACCTAAAATTTTTCCTTTAAAGCTATAAAACTTTCATTTTCTGATGCTTATTTTGTGGAGAGGCCATTTTGACTCTGTTGTTTTGTAGGCAACTTATTTTTTTTTGTCTGAGTCCTTGAGGGATGTTTTCATTTTTCTTCAATTTTGAAAGTTCAGAAAGGTATACACAGGTGTTGTTCTTTCTCTTTCTTTCTTTCTTTCTTTCTTTCTTTCTTTCTTTCTTTTCTTTCTTCTTTCTTTTTTAGTAGCTTCATTGAGATACAGTTCATATAACATGCAACCTACCCTTTAAGTGTACAATCCAATGGCAATTATCACAATAAATTTTAGAACATTTTCATCATCCCAAAAGAAAACTTGAACCCTTAGTCTTCACTCCCCAATCTTCCTCCCTCCTGCAGCTGTAGGCATCCACTAATCTAACTTTATGTTTCTATAGAGTTGCCTATTCTGTATATTTCATATAAATTCGTTTATATAATATGTGGTCCTTGTGACTAGTTTCTCTCACTTACCATGACAATTTCAGAGATTCACCTACATTGTAGCATGTATCAACATTTCATTTTCTTTCTATTGGTGAATAATATTCCACTGTATAGATCTATCACATTTTATTTATTCATTCATCAGTTTATGGACATTTGGGTTCTTTCCCAAGTGGGAAAGAACATACAGGCTATTAGGAATAATGCTGCTATGAACATTTGTTTTCATTTCTCTTGGGCGTATATCTAGTAGTGAAATTACTGGGTCATATGGTAACTCTCTGTTTAGCCTTTTGAGGAACTACAAGACTATTTAACAAAGCAGCATTTTAGATTCCTGCCAGTAAAATATGAGGGTCCCAATTTTTCTATATCTTTGACAACATTCATTTTTATCCATATTTTTGGCTGTAGCATCCTAGTGAGTGTGAAGTGGCATCTCATTGTGGTTTTGATTTGCATTTCCCTGATGACAGTTGATGTTGAGCATGTTTTCATGTGCGTATTGACCATTTGTATATCTTCCTTGGGTAAATGTCTGTTCAGATCCTTTACTCATTTTAAAATTGAATTGTTTGTCTTTTTATTATTGAGTTGTAAGAGTTCTTTATATATTCTATAGATAAGTCTCTTATCAGCTATATGATTTGCAAAAATTTTCTCCTGTGGGTTCTTTTCACTTTCTTGATGACATCCTTTGAAGCACAATAGTTTTTAATTTTTTGATGTCCAATTTATTTTTCCTTTATTGCATGTTCTTTTGGCATCACATCTAAGACACTTACCTAATTTTGGAAATATTACCTAATCCAAGGTCACAAGGATTTATGCTTGTGCCTTTCTAAGAATTTTATAGTTTCACATTTTACATTTAGGTCTTTCATCCATTTTGCATGAAATTTTGTATGTGTGAGGTAGGGATCCAACTTCAGTTTTTTTGCATGTGGATATTCAGTAGTTCCAGCACCATTTGTTGAAAAAATGTTTTTTTTTTCTATTGAATTGTCTTGACATCCTTGTCAAAAATCTATTGATTATAAATGTGAAGGACTATGTCTGAAGTTTCAATTTTATTCCTTTGATTTATGTGTCTATCTCTTTGTTGGTACTGTATTGTCTTGATTACTGTAACTTTGTAGTAAGTTTTGAAATCAGAAAATATGAATTCTGGGGTGTTTGGGTGACTCAGTCAGTTAAGCATCTGCCTTCAGCTCAAGTCATGATTGCAAAGTCCTGGAATTGAGCCCAGCATCCTTGCTCAGCAAGGAACCTGCTTCTCCCTCTCCCTCTGTCCCTCCCTGAGCTCCCTTCTCCCCTCCCCTGTTTGTGCTCTCTCTCTCTCTCTCTCACCCACACGTTCTCTCTCTCTCTCAAATAAATAAAATCTTTTAAAAAAAGTGAATCTTCCAAAGTTCTTTTTTTTTTCAAAGTTGTTCTGGCTATTCTGGGTCCCTTGACTTTTCTTTTTTTTTTTTTTTCCCCTTGACTTTTCAAATGAATTTTAGGATTAGTCAGTTTTTGCAAAAAAGTCAACTGAGATTTTTATTGGGATTGCATTAAATCTTTAGATCAATTTGAGGAATATTGCCATCTTAACAATAATGTCTTTTCATCTATGAACAGGGATGTCTTTCCATTTATTTAGATCTTTAATTTCTTCCAACAATTTTTTTTTGCAATTTTCAGAGTTTAAGTCTTGCACTGCTTCTGTTAAATTTATTTCTAAGTATTTAATTCTGTTTTATGCTATCTTAAGTGGAATTTTTCTAATTTCATTTTTGGGTTGTTCATTGCTACTCTATAGAAAGACAGTTGCTTTTGTATATTAATCTTGTATCTTGCAAGCTTACTGAATTTGTTTATTCTAGTAGTTTTTAGTGGGTTTTGTTATATACAAGATCATGCAATGTGCAAGTAGAGATAGTTTCACTTCTTCCTTTCTAATCTGGACTATTTTTTTAATTTTTAAAAAGATTTTATTTAATTATTCATTTATTTGAGAAAGAGAGAGAGCATGAGTGGGGAAGAGGTGGATGGAGAGAGAGAGGCAGAGTTACTGCTGAGCAGGGAGGCTCAGTCCAGGACTCTGGGATAGTGACCTGTGCTGAAGGCAGACATTCAACCAACTGAGCCACCCAGGCGTCCTTAATCCTTCATTTTCTTGTGCAATTGCCCTGGCTAGCACCAGCATAATGTTGAATGTTCATGGTGAGAGCAAACATCCTTTTTTTTTTTTTTTTTTTTTTTAAGATTTTACTTATTTACTCATGAGAGACACAGAAAGAGAGAGGCAGAGACACAGGCAGAGGGAGAAGCAAGTTCCATGCAGGGAGCCCAATGTGGGACTTGATCCCAGGACCCCAGGATCATGCCCTAAGCCGAAGGCAGACACTCAACCACTGAGCCACCCAGGCGTCCCAGCAAACATCCTTATATTGTTTCTGATCTTTAGGAACTAAGGGAAAGCACCAGTCTTTGGCCATTATGTATAATGTTAGCTGTGGGGCTTTCTTGAAGCTGCTCTTTATCAGGCCTAGTAATTTTCCTTCTATTCCGAGTTTACTGGGTATTTTTTTATCTTGAATTTTGTCAAATGCTTTTTCTGCTTCTACTGAGATGATCATATGGTCCTTGTCTTTTATTAATAGGTGTATTGCATTCACTGAATTTTAGGTGACATTTATTTTTATCTTTTAATTCAACTTTCCATTTCCTCATTCTTTACACTTCAGAGGACTTTAAAGGAACCCATTAAACGACATATGCAATAGACATGATGCAAGCCTTAGAAGTTGATGGTGTTCCTCTGTGAGATTTTCAATTTCCAGAACTTTATACTTCACCAAAAGTACTAGTGATGGCTATCTAGGATTTTTTTTTGTTGTTTTGATGTTATTGAATAGTATGAATGTAAAACAAAAATTTAAGCATGCTTATGTAACCCAACTGTATAAATTCATAACATTATGATTTGATAGCATATATGACATTTTTATACTGTAGGCACTGTTTTGGAGGTGGGATATTTTAACTGTGTTATTTATATACTTTTTAGGGATGATAACCCTTTTTTGCATAATAAAGTATGTAGCTGGTATTTTGGGCAATTGTGATCATTATCAATGTACTTTGTCTTTGAAAATATCTAGATGCCCCTCATTTCTTTCAACATAACATGATTTGTTTCATATTATATATTTCTATCATGTCCCTATTTTATAATGTATGTTCACATTAATTGCAGTTTCCTTCTCTTGGATACATTTTTCTTTTCCATGTGAGTTCATTCACTTGGTTGCATTGTCATTTTCATTGATGATGCATTTGCTAATTAATTTTTCTTCTTTGAATGCCTGCCCTTTTTGTTCCTGGTTTTGTAGTTCAGCTCTATTTTTTATTTCAGCTCTATTACTAGGGTTTCTTTCTTGCTTGTGTTGGCCTGTGACCTTCTATGACTGATTTGTAATATTTATAGGTTTATGAAATTGACAGTCCATCCTCTGGCATCAGAGATAATTAATATTTCAATGTTTCTTTAAAATGGTTTAGAAAAATAGTACTTTTGTGATTAATATATATATGTATGTATATATATATATATACACATACATATATATATGCATTGGCATTCCAAGTTTATAGCAAGGTCTTGGATTATCAGAAGGCATCACTTATAGTTATACCTAAAGTTTTATGTATTTTTTATTCAGGTAAAATATACATGACATAAGATTTACTGTTTTAACCATTAGTAAGTATACAGTTTTGTGGTATTAAGTACATTCATATTGCTTTGAAACTTAAAAAAAATTTTTTTAAGATTTTTTTTTTCATGAGAGGCACAGAGACAGAGGTAGAGACATAGGTAGAGGGAAAGGAAGGCTCCCTGTGGGGAGCCTGACATGGCACAGGATCCCAGGACCCTAGGATCACCACTCGAGCCCAAGGCAGATAATCAACCACTGAGCCATCCAGATGCCCTGAAACTTTAAAGTTTTTAAAGAGAAGATAATACTCATTTTTAAATTCTTCAGATTTTCCTATTTATCTCCTAATACTTTCCTGTTGACCAGATTTCTTTTTCTTTTAGATGCTGAGGAGTTCTTGGCAGAAGGTTTGAGGAATGAGAACCTCAGTACTACTGCAAGGGACCACAGAGACCATATTCTACGAGGCTTCCAGCAAATCAAAACTAGGTTTGTATAAACTGATTTCATTTCTCATTAGCTTTGAAACAATTCATAGTCAGTAAAATCTGCTTTCATAGTATATAAATTAACAAGGTAGAACATATTTACTATAGTTCTTTATACTCGACAGAGGTTTAATAAGTATTTACTGAGTTGAATTGGAGATAGGCAAGCATGGTTAGTGGCGACTAGTTTACCAAAATAAAAATGTTTTCATAATAATGTATCTTAAGATAATGAATCTACTTTTAGCTTTAGATTGTTATGTTTATCTTTATTGAATACTTTTGCAAAATATGTGAAAAGCTAAACACTTATGCTTGTCCAAGTTACTAAGAAAGATCTTAGGGAGTTAGAGATAATTAATTTTTGTTATAATTTTTGGTCCTGATTTTACTTCTACATCTCCTTCCCTAAAAGAAAACTTAAACCAGACTTATCCAGTTGATTCTTTGACCATATTGGAATGCTTTACTCTTAGACTGGTGTGGAGTATCATGTTCATTGACTTTTTAAAATAAAAGGTCCTGACTTAATTTGTGCCTTTTAGAATGTGAGCATCTGGCAGATACATATACTTGCCTGCGGTAGACAAAAATAAAAATTTTCTTTTACAATATATTTCCTGCCATCTTTTGCTTGAAATATGGTAACTGAACGAGAATTGGGGATACGTTTAGTATTATTTTAAGCTTTCTCAACCTGATGGCAATGTGGTTCAGAATGTTTGAACTAAGTACTCTTAGAGAAGAGAGAACATCTGTAGGGTTATGACTAGGATTCAATTTGTGTGCCTGACTGATCTTAGCATCTACCTTAGAAACCTCACTGAAACTCCTTAGAAGCAGGGAGTTTTATCCTTTGGAAGGGCACAGCCAGAATCTATTCCCTCCAGAAATGTGAGAGAACCTCACAAGATGCCCTGCTGGATCTTAATCGATCTTTCCTGCTGGCTAATTAAGCATCACTTTTACTCAGCAACTGGGGACTGTGTAATTATCAGCCTGGGTTGCCCTGAATAATTGAAACAAACAGAATGCAGAAGATGGGAGCTTTCTGCAAACATGAGAATATCTATAATTTTTGGTATGCTGGAAGAGTGTTTAAAACAAACTTCTCCATAATGTTACTTTATTAGTAGATAAATTTAGATTTACCTGTGTATCTGAAGGCTTAGTTAGTAACCCATAGAATTTTTTTATTTTCACAAGCTGGACTTTGCATTATAGGATTATTATAAGGATTGCCTGAGGAATAGAGGTGGTATTGTTTCAAACTGTATGACAGAGAAAGGGAAGCCCAAACTATAATTGTGTAATGATGATGCTATTGATATAAATTTGTGATAAGGAATGCAAGAATAAATGTTATGCACCTGTATGGACAAAGATACAATGAAGAGGAATTCTCTTTTCCCATATTTGTACCACAGCGTTTGGAAAGGGCTAAATCTCAATCTTATATTGGTAATAAATGGTGATTTTGTGGCAACTCATTGTTACCAATTGCATATTACTTATTAGTCCTCTTTTTACTTTTTATTTTTAAATGTATTCCCTTTAAACATTTAAAAAATATTTATTTATTTATTTATTTATTTATTTATTTATTTATTTATGAGAGACACAGAGAGAGAGGCAGAGACATAGGCATAGGGAGAAGCAGGCTCCCCATAGGGGAGCCTGAAATGGGACTTGATCCTAGAACCCCAGGATCACACCCTGAGCTGAAGGCAAGATGCTCAATCACTGAACCACCCAGGTGCCCCTCCGTTTTTAAAATTTAAATTCAATTTGCCAACATACACTATAACACCCAGTGCTCATCCCATCAAGTGCCCTCGTTAGCTTAGTGCTCTTTTTAAATTCACATGCACACGTCTATGCACACACACAGAAGCTGTATTTGTTATGGGATGGAGAAGGTTCCTTGTTCTCAAAGAACTTGCTGTGTGGTTTGTGGGATAGACATTCAGGAAATAATCAGCAGGAGCTTTAGGAAACATCTGATGGGAGCTTTCTGTTCATTGATTTGTTGCAAGAAAGATGACACTTTATTTAGAATTTCATAATTATCAGATCATGCAGGAAATGAGGAGCCAGAAATTAGATACTGTACCAGAAAATGGAAAAATGAGAGTTTACTTTGGCAAGCTGTTTGAAATTGCCTTACATCCACCCATTCAATCTTCTGGTAATGTAACGCTTGTTTTATTAAATGCTCTTCTTCAGTCATCATATTGCTTCTATAGTCCTGTTTATGGCTGGTCAACATTATAGACTATATGTATTGATACTGAAAGCTTGTTCAATATCAGCCACATTTACTCTTGTTTTGTGGCATTGTATCTCATGCCAAAAAGCTAGGTGTGAAAAGAAATCATCAAACTTGAGAATTAAATGTGTGTGGCAAATTGCCATGTAACATGGAAAGAATCACTGAAAGTTGTTTAAAGGATTGTATCTTTAGGCATATTAAAGTGATGATATTTTAAGGTTTGGTACATTTTGGGGTATAGGAACCTATCTATAATTATGGTTTGACACTTCAGAACTTACTTGAAGGTGGGTAAGAAATCTCAAGCAGGATAATCTGAGAAGGCCACTTGATAGATATAAATACTACTCTGTATACACACACATACACATATATCCCCTTTACACACATACACGCAACTTTCCACTCTATCTTTGTTGTTTTCTTGCTTCAGTTCCTCTAATTCTTTCCTCAAGTTGAGCTGCTTGAGAATGAAAAGAGTAGAGAGTAGTGAAAATACCACTGCCTCTGATTCTTGGTCAACTCTAGAGAGTTGGCCCTAATTTTTATGGTGACTCAGAATTCAGTGGTGTTTGCCACAGCTATGGAATTGCCAGAAGTCAAAGTGTCTGACTCCAGCACAACTATTATAATGTGCTATTTGCCACCTTTCTGTTGTCTAGCATGACCAGCCCCAGGAAATGAGAGTTGTGTCAAGAGTCATGGATGTCCTCCAAGTGCTCATCTATTTTTCAGCACAAGTAGTTTAGCTGTTCTCTTTCCTCCCAGACTTAAAAACAAACAAATAAAAATCATTATCTGTAGCTCTGTCTGCATACTAGGTTTTTTATCCTTACCAATGAAGGATAATATATTCCATGTAAAACAAAATCTTAAAAAATGGTAATTCCTGTGATTCTGGAAGTGAAGCCTTTTGTAGTATTCCATGTCCTGAGCTATAATATTCATTGTTCTTCTTCCAACTGCCTCATTTAAACCTTCTCCCTAAAATCTAACAGCTTTCACATTCTGAGTCCAAGTTTTCATTGAGCTCTTTAGAGAATGATTAGGATGAAAGCCAGGCACAGGCTCCTCCTGTTTTATTATGGTGGTCACTGCAGGATCAGCGCCAGATGTGGGACACCTGGAATGAAGCAGACAGAAGCTGCACTTAGACACTTGATGGCGGTCTCATGCATTTGCAGAAACAGTCGAGCATTCCTTAAAAGTTTTATTCAGGGGAGGCCATCTGACAGCAAGAATAGTGGGGGAGGGAATGAAGAAAATGGAATATTTTTATTACTGTGGTAAGGATATATTCTTTCTTGATGGCCTGTTTTGGAACAACTAGTCATTTATGCTCACTGTTGGAAGTGAAGGCCAGAGCCAATGGAAACAAACTTGGAGTATTATTTCCTTCTGTGAAACTTAAAGGAGTTCCAAAAAGAGACAGGTAGATTTATAGCACGTTGAAAGGGAAAGAAATCAAGAAATAGCTTTCTGTAACAGGACTATGGCACAAAACCCACAAAACTCAGGACGTTTAATGTACAGACTGAAAGAGTATCTTGAACTTGTCTCATTGTGGGTGGCTAGTGTGTAGCTCCACGTGACACATGATACATTAATATAAATATAAAAACAATTCAGTTTTCTTTGGGAACTTCATGTTTTTCTTTTCAGATTAACATGGATTTAACTTTAAAGCAGGGTTTAACTTAAAAATGTATCATCAGGAACACCTGGGTGGCTCAGTCAGTTGAGTGTTTCACTCTTGATTTCGACTTAGGTCCTGATCTCAGAGTTATGAGACTGAGCCACGTGTCAGGCTCTGCTCTCAGTGGGGAGTCTACTTGAGATTCTTTTTCTCCATCTCTCCCTCTCAAATAAATAAGTAAATACATAAATAAATCTTTTAAAAAATAGAATGTATCACCAGATGTCTTTGTAGTATAGGAAGAGAGACAAAGAGTCGGATAACAGGCTTTGGGAATAAAAATTTCAAAATAGTATACTGTAAATATCATTACCAATAATTACATAGAAGATTTGACTTTTCATAAGTGCTAGTAATTGAGCTTAAACACCCCAAAAGAAAACACATTCACATGAAGCATGCTTAAAGAGAACTAAAATAGGGACCCCTGGGTGGCTCAGCAGTTGAGCGTCTGCCTTTGGCTCAGGGCGTGATCCAAATTCAGGGATCGAGTCCCACATCAGGCTTCCTGCATGGAGCCTGTTTCTCCCTCTGCCTATGTCTCTGCCTCTCTCTGTGTCTCTCATGAATAAATAAATAAAATCTTTTGAAAAAAAGAGAGCTAAATATAATGTACTATTAATACGTTTGTGTTATTTGCAAGTTTAGTTATTTGCTTGTAACATCTTTCTGATGCTTGATTTTGCTATTTACACTGGAGTTTCAGTGCCAGCTCAGAAAAAGAAAGAGGAGGAGATATTTGTACAATCTATCTAAGTTTCAATAGCTCTGAAAAGGCTCAAAAGTTGTAGCAATAATTTCACCACATTTTGAAGGCTAATAATTCATTTCTTCCTTTCCCAATCCTATTCCTGCTTCCCATTATCAAACCAAGAAAGAAAACAGTCCTGCAACAAATTCAGAGCTATCAACTAATCTTTTTTTTTTTTTTTAATTTATGATAGTCACACAGAGAGAGAGAAAGAGAGGCAGAGACATAGGCAGAGGGAGAAGCAGGCTCCATGCACTGGGAGCCCGACATGGGATTCGATCC